CCTCTATTATTTAGAAGGGATAGAGGGAGTTCTATATTTTCAGATGGGATAGAGGGAGTCCTCTATTATTTAGATGGGATAGAGGGAGTTCTATATTTTCAGATGGGATAGAGGGAGTCCTCTATTATTTAGATGGGATAGAGGGAGTTCTATATTTTCAGATGGGATATAGGGAGTTCTTTATTATTCACAAGGAATATAGGGAGTTCTCTATTATTCAGAAGGGATAGAGGGAGTTCTCTATTATTCAGATGGGATATAAGGAGTTCTCTATTATTCAGAAGGGATTAGAGGGAGTTCTATATTTTCAGATGGGATAGAGGGAGTTCTATATTTTCAGATGGGATAGAGGGAGTCCTCTATTATTTAGATGGGATAGAGGGAGTTCTCTATTATTCAGAAGGGATAGAGGGAGTTTTTATTATTCAGAAGGGATATAGGGAGTTCTTTATTATTCACAAGGAATATAGGGAGTTCTCTATTATTCAGAAGGGATAGAGGGAGTTTTTATTATTCAGAAGGGATATAGAGACTATAGAATATGCTGGTTGTTCATTTCTAGATTTGAACAGTAGGCTTAGCGCTAGCCACATAACAATATCCACGCACTCACTCACTATGAGTGTTTCAGTAATGGTACATTATTTAAGAACATGTCGTAGTGATATCCTTGCAGATCAAATAATAGGAAGATCCAAGGTTTGCAACGTGTTTCCGCTAAATACGCTCCATACTTTCATTTTTGGTGCGTTATAAGAGTTGTAGCCAATCCATTTCTTCGGTTTCAAGACGCACACAGCACTTATAGCGGCGGGTCTACTTATTAGCTGACTTCAGTTTGGTCAATAATTCAAAATCCTGGTCATTTAGCCAATATGTGCATAAGGTTGAAAACACCAGTACCAATACCCTTTAAATCACTTAACTATTACATAATGGTATAGCGCGAAGTGCTATTGTTAGATATGTAACATAAGAATTATATGCTTATTGGTCATTTTTACAAGGCACAGTTAATTTTGACTAAATAATAGCAATGGATGTAAGTTCTACTGAACGTTTCACCGTGACGTGCTCGTAACTAAGCATAAAGATTGGTGCATTGAATCTTGTCTAATATTTATATTTAATTGTATGAAAGTACTTGTATAACAATGAAAAAACTAATTCATTAAAAATTTATACCAACTTTTAGCAACAACGAATACATAATACTGCAAATAGATGATTATTTTTATTATTAAAACGAAATTTCAACTAATGAAGCAGTGATTTAAAAATAGAAAAACAACATATTTTTACGCTATAAAACTTTCGATCTACTCTTACCAAACGTATTATTATACTAAAAGTATCTGCTTTAGTGTACTGTGTATAACCAAATTAATTTCAATGTAATCCTTTAGGAAATAATTATTTACCTCTAAAGAGTTTGATATGTGTTAAGTCTGGCATAAAGTTTCTTTAAACAATAACCGCATCACATGCAGAGAAATATATTTATATATATACTGCCAAACTCAAAAATATGTTGAAGCTCTGTTGTTATGTTGTAACATACTGTCATGATATAAAAGACTGTTTAATGTAGGTAGTATTAATCAATTAATCTTGCGAGTTATTATTCTATCATTGTTTAGTGTGTTTATTTATATAATAAGAGAGTTAAAAGCAGGTGATTGTTGGAAGTTGTATTTATAATTCATTGATGTTGAGACTATCGAATGTCACGTGCAATACACTGACGTCGAGAATTTAGAGATTTCTAGAAGGCGACCAGACGATTAAGTAATAAACATATACGTAGTGTGAGACGAGCAGAAACAGTAGACAGACAGTAGCAGAAGAGAGTAAAGTCACGGCCAAGGAAAAGTTCGGCGTGAAGTTAGCTGCTTTAGAAGTGATAAGCTTAACGTTTAATATGCCAGAGTAAGACTTACAGTAGAAAATGAGATCAGAAAAATAATTCATCCCGTCAAAGCATGGTTCTAAAGTAATGGAATCAGCATGAGCGCACTTTGACAAAAGGAACAGAGGAAGACCAAACGATTACGGTAACGCGCGCCATAATTGTAAGAGAATCACACACAGAATACTAGTGCAATAGTGATAGAGAAAATAGTTCGGCTTGTTAAGTGAAATTCTAAACTAATCGAATAGGCCTGAATGGATTTTGAGGAGACGAAGAGAACTATATATAGTGTTTATGATATGCATATGATCTCTATAGTGTGACTAATCTGTTGTACATGCGTTTAATTTGTTCCAAATATACATATACTCTTTAATATTTTCAAATTTTGTTGCTATTTCATCATATTGTTAAAGAAAAGTTGACCACTTAGATTATAAATTTTTGGAAAATGTAAAAATATACATTTTATGGCCCAATTTATTTTCAAAGACGGGTGGAGAATTTCAATTTATAAAAATTCATTAATATCACTGAAAGAAATATGTGTATTATATAATTCAAATTATGGTAAAAATGTACCAAACGAACTTCGTTGCGGTAATCAACACTTTATTTAATGACTGGAGTAAACGTGGCAGGCATTCTTCTCTTACTCACCCATAATATAAATCATACTAGCGGACGAATCTTTTCAGCGCATGAGGAAAATATAGAGAGGCCAGGAGTTGACGTATTCGGGTCAGTTTCGAACTCCGACTTCGTATATAAGGTCATCTTGGACGTGAACATTATTCGTGAAAACATGGCCTCCGCTACACAATCACAAAGTTCTCTGTTAGTTTTTCACGAACTTACTAACAAATCAGACAAAATATGCAAGTCAAGATATGAAGGAAAGTCGGTCTTGACACGACTGATCCTTATTCCATCTCGTCAACAATAACAATCGCGCTAGATGTCAGTACACTCGTCAACATTGCAAACGGAGGAACCAAGTTAGGCCTACAAATCAACGTTAAAAGTCTCACAGGTTGAGAATATAGATATCGTAAATGATTTAGTCCTGACAACATCTCTTTTACACCGGAAAGCAGTTCAAGGCCTATAAAAGTCTTGATGCTTACAAGTATTTTATGGCCGGCTGAGTGCACGGTGTGAGACTGTGGAAAGTGTACAAGACGTCCAACTACATAGCTTACTTGAGGGTAAGTCGAAGTTGTTTTTAGTGACTAGGCCTATTAATCAAAATAAAGTATAAGAACAACGTTTCGACCTTTTTATAATTTATTTCAATTAAAGTTTTTAATACCCGTACCAGCCGTCTCTGCTATACATTTTTACTAGGCCTATTGTTGATAAAACTTTCTTATCACCCACCGGGCCCTTCCACCTAGCACTGCTTGTATTAGCCTGTATCATAGTACTTAAATTAGGGCAAGTACCAAATATTTACATAGGTACATCGTATATACAAGTAGTACTATCCAGATATAAAATGGGAAGTGCATAGTCCATGGCACGACGATGGATACCAAGCCTTGTCAATGTTGTTCGTGTCTGCACGTTTTACTGCCGTAGTCCATTTAACTCTACATACTGGATCTTTTGGAAACCTATAAAACGATAAGTCCGGATTCTTTGTCTGGTTATTTGTACAATTAACTGTCGCACAGCTGATTGTCATTTCAAATACGTGATCCCAAATTCCAATACCAGCAACTACGTTGTAATTACTATATTGTCTCTCTGCTACGTCCAAAATGGCGGTGTTTAATTTTCGTCTTGCCGGTAATATATGTATGACGTCACGCGCATAGGGTCTGTATAACCACCAGGAGGCTCTAAGTATGCATGATAGGATTGGTGGTAATCGGCCCAGCAGTTCGTCAGTTACATGTGGACACACACACACACGGATTAGCAAATATTTGTTTATATTACCAGAAGTATAAGAACAACACACCTTGATAAGAGGAGTATTTAGTTTCGCCGTTCAGACCTTACTCTAAGATGGAGGTAATCCACCTTTGGCGTTAATTCCAACCTGGACTCTGTTAACACAATTTACCACCAACCGTTGGTACACCCTCCATTGAACTGACCACCCACAACTATTCTTGCAAAACAAAACCAAGAGTAGGGAGATTTTGGGGTACTGTATGCCTTTTTTTTTTGTTTGTTTGTTTGTCCATCAAAGGGCGTTTTCATAATGTACCAGAATATTTCAATTAAATTCAGGTTCGGAGCACCAAGCTGATCAAGGCAGATTCAGACTGGCTGTTTACAAAGAATTTTTTATTCGGGCTCAAGCTCCTTTCACCTAAATATTATTCCGGAACAGAAAGTGAAAATAACTGCATTCTTCTGGTAGTCTGAAACTTGAAAAAGTAGTTATCTATTTTCACTAAAGCGAACCCATGGTGATGGCCTATTTACTAGAAAAAAGCTCCAGGTTTGTGAAACTTTACATTCGTTGGAAGGGGTAGGGCTGAGTAATCCACGACGAGTAATTTAAAAGCACAAAAGTTAGAAAATAATAACTAAAAAGTTTAAAATTCTAGAATGAAAAAGGAAACGAAACATAAAGTAAACATTAAAATTATTAAAACAATGACAATAAAGAGAGAATTAAACTTGAAATTCTTTATAAAAATTTTATAAATCAGCAGTCACATAGCCTATAAAAGAAATACAAATTTAAAGCTAGTGCTATAATTTAAATGGTTTAAATTATAGGAGAAGCAAGTTAATCAATCTAACATAGAAAAAGTTTGGTTACAGAACAGAACCTATATTGTTTATTGACATAAGGGAAAGAGATTTGTGTTCATTTTTATAACAGTATATGTGATACCCATATAGAGATTAGAACCATTAATACCTGTGCGGTCTGTCGTGTCCTAATACTTTTAGTAAGATAATATGTGTATTCATTATGAAAAGCTTAACAGACACTCATTCATTTCTACCTTCATGGTATATTCTGTACTAATACATTTGGTAAGATAGTGTGTGTATTCAGTATGAAAAGCTTAACAGACACTCATTCATTTCTACCTTCATGGTATATTATGTATTTATCGCTCGTAAATTACTGTCATCTCCAAAGGCACCAAGTCTTCATTCTGTTGCATTTATATAGACTATGTTCTGAGACAAAGTGTAGTTTTATATCTAAACAGTATATATTATTACAAAAGAACACTAAAAACAGGGCGGGTAATCCTTCAGACCACCAGAACATATTAATGTATCGATCATGCCTAAAGAAACTATATAAAGTTGTCATTAAGTTTCGGGTGACTGACTAAATCATAATTATTACCAGATATAAAGAACGGTGATCCACAAAGGTTATCAACATCATAGCTTTCGGTGTTTCTTTGTCAAAGTCATTATTACAGTTATTATCTTTCTACGGTGATGTTCTTTCCTTTTCCCGCCCACCGCAGGCTAAGACTATTGATTCTTGTGAAGATAGAAGCAGCATCTTAACCCTGTACCTCCAACCAAGCTTTATCCTGTTGTGAAAATCCTTAATTAAATTATCCAAATCTTTAAAAATATGCTTCCTCCCAGAAGCGTTACCATAGCAACTGAACGAAAACCTACCATGATCATGAATTTGATAATTAACGGAAAGCGTTTTCTCACTAATTGTGATCCGTTAAAATGCTAACTTTTCTTCTTGTTTAGTTGTAAAACGTAACTTACTTATATTTTTTTTACTAATTGTATTTTCGTTGATATATTTGCTCGATTATATGTAGTTCTTGCACATAAGATATGTAAAATGTATTTATCCAGTTGCTACTTGGTTTAACCTTGTTGAGTTAGTTATATACGTAGGAATATGGCATGCTTTGACAAAAAAAGAACTTCTTTTCCTTGCTTTAACTTTCTCTGGTTGTGAAGAGCAGTAGTTTCAAAGAGACTACTTGAGCACGTACGTGAATCAAGTTTGGAAACACTTGTAGAACTATTTGTTATAGCGTGTAGTCTCGTGTACGTGAACAGTTTTAATCGTTCGCCCTGTCCACGAACTCAGTTTTGTAAACATTATTCGATTAATCAAGTGTCCAAGTGGTGTTCGTTGAAGGCTTTTTGAGAAACACGAGCGTTCAGAAACTGTTAATGGATTCGTAAGACTTGTGGTAATCACATTTAGCGATTGACAAAATTAATATTGTGTTTTATTTCTCTCTGCTTTGGACACTCGTAAAATATTTAACGTAATTGTTGAACCTATATTATTAACAGTAAACTATTCTTTGATTGCTATTGCACGTAATTAATGTGCTCAACTCATTATATACATGTGTACATTTGATTTTAGCCTAATCGTATGGAATAAAAGCGTATTTAAATCATTACCTCTGTGTTGTTTTCGTTATCATCTAAACACAAATAACAAATGGTTAAGAACTAAATTATTCTTATACTTGAATTATACTGTAGCTATTAAAGATATAGAATAGGGGAGTAATTTTGGCGGTGAAAATGATTTTATAGTGGTAAACTTGTATGGTAAAACAAATCCCAATCAAGTCTATTATTGTAATACTTTTCATACAAAAAGTTTAAGAAAAAACCTGTATGTAGCTGTTTTGAGATCGCGTGATTCTCGGTATCTTAAACTCATGGAAAAAAATCGATATGATTTAGAATTTAAATAACATTTCATTATTCTTTACATTCTAAAATACGCAGTAGTGTTTCTGATTATTAATACGTTTCAAAAATGATTACTAGGTGGCAGGTACAGCATATTACCGAATGGTGAACTACATATTAGGGGTGTCACAATGAAAGATGAATTGACTGGTTATAGATGTCACGTTCGTCACCGCTTGACATCTGATATAACTAGTAGTACCGACGTAGGACGATTGATTGTCAAAGGTAAGATAGTCACTTTACTGTAAAAAAGATTGACTGTCAACAATCCATTTGTTCAAAATCCGTTTATAAGACTAAGAGTCAGTAGCAAGTTGATCAATGTTTCTTTACGATAATAAATGTCCAAGATAAAATAATCACTACTTTTACTAAGTGTACTTCCGCAGGGTCCCCAAAACTAAAAGTAACAAATATTTTTATTTCTTGTTTTTGAAGTTCATATGTCATGCTGTGTTGTAGCTTAGTTGCAGAATACATAATTCTTCTCGTCATTCATGGCATGCGCACGTTTTACTGACGTCACGACAGTACGAACTGTAATGTTAAGCGTCCCTTATGTGACGTCATTTTAGTGTCTACTGAGTGGCTGACAGACAACACACTATTGTATTATGGTGCGAGTGGTTAAAACATGTGATCCCTCCAGGCAGCCTTCGTCCTCCTTTCGGGAAAATTAAAAGAATAAGATTGATTATTAAAGTCCGATTATTCAATTCCGTAGACAAGGTTCTCGATAATAAATTTGTGGTAATCTCTGGTTCACTGATAAACGTTTAGTAGCAGCAAATAACAGGAGGAACAGTCAGGACATATATTACGGATCTAAAGCTGAAAATTTGTCTAGATTACGTTCAAGAAGAGACTGAATACAATGTTAAACAAAGAAAAATAAATTTTTATTTATCAATCGAAACGCCATCTCAAATGACTAGTGCAAAGAACTTCGGAAATTGCTCCCCTATTACAGAAGGGGGGGGTTGAATTATTCATCTGTTCTATAATATCTTTAAAGATGTTCTTTAAATTCTAGACTGTACAAGAGTATGACGTTATATACACAAAAACAGTTACGTCATCCTTCCTAGAGCACAACGTTATTATCTCCGCGTCATTCTTTTTCTCAAGTCAATTTAGTGAAATTAAACAAGGCGATGTTACTAGAGGAAGAAGATACAAGATCCTAATTTATATCCGTACCAAAATCGCTTTGTCGTGAGACATCCACCTTGATCATATGTAACTAGCAAACGCAATTTGCCCCCTAGTGGCACAGCGGCATGTCTGCGGACTTACAACGCTAGATACTGGGTTTCGATACTCGTGGTGGGAAGAGACCAGATAGCCCATTGTATAGCTTTGCGCTTAACTGCAAACAAACAAATGAAATAATGTCAGTATGACACAAAGCGAATTTCCTATATTTGAAGGTATGTAATTTTGTATATTTGAAAAAAGTAGGAAATTTTGGTAAACAAAATAACTTATTCTTCTAAACTAAGATAAAAAGGAAATATATTACTTTCTTACAAAAAATCGTGTGAACTAACCAAGGAAAGATGGTGAACATTATTACAGAGGACTGATTGTTAATAGTCCCCTTGTGTAAATACTGGCTATCAAGTGATGTATCTTCGTAAAAACTTTTATTTGAGGGTAACGTAGACCATATTTTAGATGTGGCAGGTTATTGGTAGTAGGTTGTTTATATACAGAACTTGTTGTTGACTGTATGTTTACCTTTCTCTTTCAACAACACCTTCCCTCTAATTGGCAAGGTGATAAACAAGACTTTGACGTTTCTTATGCTTCAGGATTATGATACACTTATAGACATGCTAAGAAAAACTAGTTATAGTCCAAGTATACTAATCATTGGATCCCACTTCACCCACTGTTTGGTTAGATTGCATAACATAAGACCTAAACTGCTACAGTGAGACAAATATTTTTTGTCAAACTAGGTTATCAAAATTGGTTGTCTAGTGTAAAGTGACAATTGTCATACGTTATGCCAAAATAAAACCAACTGTTATGCTGTCATATCTTAGTCAACCGTATTCTGAGATAAAACTGGTTGTCAAGTGTAATATAGCATATGTTATGACAAAAACGTTAAAAATAGCTGGTATGTGTGCCGTTATTAATCATTCATATTTTGTAACTAAAACTAGTTTACTCTTTTTTTCCCCCTTGGATAAGGAGATCTGTATCAGAAGTTAATGACAGCACTTAGATACAATTGGTAATTAGCTGGTGAGGTTACGTGACTTGAGAAGTAAGGAGACAACAGCCTTACAACTTACTTATAAAACCATCGAAGAATGTTATCACGTCAGGTCAGACTTGGTATAAATGTTCCCTTCCGAACGCTATCGAGTTAGGTCAGTTTAGATCTGTGTGTTCTCTTCTGACTGTCACGTCAGGTTAGACTTGGTATGTGTGTTCCCTTCCGACCATTATCACGTCAGACCAGACTAGATCTGTGTGTTCCCTTCCGACCATTATCACGTCAGGTCAGACTAGATCTGTGTCTTCTCTTCCGAACACTATCACGTCAGGTCAGACTAGATCTGTATGTTCCCTTCCGAGCATATCACATACGCTGTACGGTTAAACTATTTCTAAATATTTTGTCACTAGAGGGCAGTAACCCATGGTATGTTTAGCACAGTAATTGTATTAGCTCGTGTTCTTGATAGATACATACATTCTATGTAAACGTGTAATCATTTGAAGGTGTTACTTAATTGATCATAGGTGCGTGTTAAAACTATTTTTCGATTGGATCTGACACTGTGAAAAAGTTAACGTGTGACAACTTAATGTTAGATTTAGACATAAATATATAAATCAATTAATTATATTACAACAAGAAAATCGATCACCAAACTGTGTAAAGAACAAAATGAATTATGTTGAACATGTGTTACCAAACTTCGTTGGCAGTAGCTGTCATCTCGTCAAAAGTTTTCCGAAACGTCAGAGTCTAATAAATCTAAGCCTGGGTCTTAAAGACATAATCGTCTAATAATAAGTATAACATAATTATTAATAACTTATGATCTAAAGTTAGTTAGCTATAATTCAAAACTGAAAAGTAACGTGTAAATTAATGAAGCCAGTTTTATAAGTAAACTGACTAGACGTACTTAATGTTCATAATGACAGTTGTGCCTGAATCATAGAGGTCTGTGACCTGTCAAGTTTATCACATACATCCACGAAGAATAATGTATAATTGGATTTCAACCATCCCTTGTTTGTTGTACACCTCTTGTTACAAGGATATACGCTCAATACTAGTGATCATTAGGTTATATTTTTGAGTATAAAGCCTTGCGACCAATGGCGTACAGTAAACAAGGTATAGTTTACATGCTGTTATAAACTATTCTTAATATAAACCCGTAATGGACTAGTAAACAGTGTGGTGAATTAAATTATTGTCAATCTTATTGTGATGATGTAAGTCATACACATAGGGCAAGTAAATGTAATGCTCCTGCAGTTAAGGCTTTCTACACCTTAAAAATTAATAATATTGTTTGTAATTAATCTAATAGTTGGTGTAACTTGGACTGTGTTTTATAAGAAGCAGTTATTTCAGTGGTTGAATAATTAATATAGAGGCATGCTGCTGTTAGATAGAGCTATTAAATAGTAGACAGATAAATAAACCATGCCGTTTAATTAACTATAAAACCCGTCCAGTGAACTCAGTAGGCTAACGTTTACGAACTTTCTTTCAGCCAAGTTTCAACTGGCTGCACACTAACTATTTTGTGACCTCTGTAAATCAGGTATACGGCAGATCTAATACAAAAAACGCAACGTTATCTATTTGGTCAGTGGAATTATTTTGTGCTTGTTGTGAAGGTCGATTATACCTGTTTTGTTTTAATAAATGGAACATAAAATAGGTTCGCGTGCTGCTATTGGCATAGCTGTTATCCCTGCTTTAGACAAAGCAAAATTCTTCCCATATAAAATTTCAATTATGTACCCGGCATAGCCAGGTGGTTAGGGAGCTCGACTCGCAATTAGAGAGTCGCGGGTTCGAATCTCCGTCCCACCAAACATGCTCGCCCTTTCAGCCGTGGGGGCGTTATA